TTAACAAACTGCAGGCGCTCTCTTCCATGTAATTATTATATAATTATCAGTAAACTTACTTTTAATTGTTGTTTTAATTATCTTGGAGAAAGGACAACATCGAGAAATATAGAAATCGATTAACTTTAATTTCGCTTTATCATGTGTGTGATTTTCATATGGGTTTAATAATTTTATAAAAAAAATAACTAAATTGAGTAAATATATGCGGATTATATATAATCGGAATTAATTAATAAATTATATATCTAGCGTACTCGGGCGTATTTACCATAGCTTTATGTAAGGTCAGATTGTGTGTGTGTCGCGGCAACATTTTCGTTCTCATTGTAATCGCACGCATATTAAATGAACCAGATGCTATTTTGATACTTATTCTCTGCGGTCGGTCTCCCGCTGTTTTTATGAAAGACCAACGGCGTGTTTTCTGGATAAGAAAAGAACGGCACGTGCCAACGCAGCGACACAGCACGCTTCGGGTGGCCGCTCGAGCACGTGCTCCAGAATTTATTCTGGAGTAACCTTTCCGCGTGTATGCGCACCTTATATAGATCTGACGTAAGTGGTAAGTACGAAATCACAATATCATACATACATGTCACACAACTGCACATTTTTTCTACATTAATACATTAATCATTAATACTAGGAATGAATAGAAGGAAAAGGAATAAATAAACGAATTTGATTTTTGTGACTATATCACGAAGTTAAGGAACGTTGATTCTTTGCATATTACTACGTCAGCTAAAATAGCGCGACATGAAAAAATTCGTTACGTCGACACGGTGAACTGCCTTCGCTGGCAAATAAAGCGCGAAATTCCGGAATCGAATGACGGATAGGAAATACGAGTGAAACGTGAGAAACGAGAGCTCAATTTCACGCACACACTTTCGCTTATTCCATGGCCTGGCTCCTTTAATTGCATCGTTTTATTTCCAATAATATCCAAAAAGTGTTATTTCAAAAATATTATAGAATATTATAAATGTCGGATGACAGATCCTTTTACAATTACTTTAATAAAAATTTAATTAAAAATTCAATTACAAAAATATTAAATATTAGAAACCGTATAGAGCTATGTATGTAGAATAAAATTTTCAAAGTGTACTGTGGCAGCAGAATTTCTGTTATTAATTTTTTTTATTAAATAAATTTTAATAGAAAAATTTTATTTAAAGTTTAATCATCAAAAAATTGGAAGCATTAAAAACGCTAAACTATACAGTCAATCTCCAGACCATTTCAATTTAATATCGAAGAATCTAATAGCAATAGCAGTGTAAAAAATATAAAAATGGGACCTTCCATATATCTCCTATATTCATGGGAATATCCGCCATCGCGGTGTATCACACTTGTCTGATTTCATCAATTAAAGATCGCTAATATATGCTCCTTTACTCATTTACAAAACAGTTTTCTAATGTATGTATATTTCGGTCTCCCTATTCTAATATATGAATACGCATATCTCACGTGTATACGCTGACGTAGATTATGCACGTTCAAATGCGTAAGGGTTGAGAGTCACCCCATCAGAAGAGCGATGTTGCGAGAGGGTGGTATAGTATAGATAATCCTTTGGAAAAGCACCGACGCGTGCCGCGCATAGAAATGTCACTTTTATGCATGGCACTTTTATCTTTTTATTCAACCGAGCTTTAAGCAGAAAACGAAATTTTAAAGAGAGACTCGTGTGTTATTCTAATTGCACTCGTTACAATTTACTCTTACTTTACCTTGATGCGCAATTTATTAACTACGGCTACTTAATTCGCAAAATTACAGTAGAATTTTATTGCTCAAAGAAAGTGTTTAACAATAGACATAAAATATTTATGATAAATATAATTTAAGAAAAAAGAGACCCTTAAAACAAATAAAAAAAAGGACATTTGACATGGACATCTTCAATCTTAAGATAAGAAATTGCGTCAGATATAAAGAGTAATGACAGCAAGCGTATATAAGTAGGTGAAACTAACAAATATTAGATAGTGCGACAAATGATGCATATGAGAAGCAATAAAATTAACAGTTATGAGCCATTTGGTCTTATCGAGGAGTGTTTATCGCGCAAAAAAGAATTATCTCTACCACCCCGCGAACGCGAGCGCGAGCGGTGCGTATTTTATCGGGACTTTAAAGTGCAGAGTGCCCGATGATTCAGCGTCGTGCCACAGGGGTGGCGGACTTGATGTGCTCTTACTCATCGTTCGCATACAGTTTCGCGACGACGCGGGATGTAGGAAGGGGTTGCGTCTCTCGCACACCAGTAACACGATCAATAAGATAATTGAAGACTTTCTCGACGATATATAACCAGCGCGCGGCGGAAGGGAGTAATTGTACTATCTCGCTCGTACTAGCGTAAGGCCATTGTTTTCAAGACAACCCTCATCATACTCTTTCGAAATTTTATTATTCGATTCGAGACATGTAAAAAAATAAAACAAACGCGCTTTATATCACGAAAGTATCACCAAGATCAGTCTTTTGTCGATGAAACTTGATTATCGTCACAAACTGCGCAAAAGGAAATCAGGTAAATAATAATAAATATGAACCTTGCAAAAATTAAAATTATAAATTAATTGATAAAAATAGTAATTCGACTTTTTCGCATTTTATTGAATTATTATTGAAAATGTTGTAAAGTATTAATTTAAATCGGGATTAATGTTTGCTGAATATTCCGAGAAAATATTACGTAGAAAAAAGTAATATTAAAATAAAAAATAGAATATATTTAATATTGGATTATTTTCCGATATTATCGATATTGATATCGGACCACAAAGGGTTAATGAGTTATATCGAAAGTCAGGTCACCTTTCGAACGATCGGAGTCGCGGAGGCGAGAGAAAAAACGATCTCGGAACTCGGAAACGAGCCGCTGCACATTCACAGCCGATCGACCAACCGTGAAAAGTCTGTCGCGGAGAGCAAAGTGCAATCGCGCGGCAACGAGGCTGATTGCACTTCTAAAAGCCGGGGCAAACAGATCTGCGGTTTATCTAATTTGTCTACATGCGAGATAAAATGTGATCAAAACTCGGAACAGTTGATGATTCACGTGCTGAAGGACTAAGTATGAATTAGTCTGAAGAATGAACACGTGTAAAACGATGCTGCGATTGAAAAAAGTTTCGAAACGCGCGTTCTTAACTATTTATGTTTATTATATTACGTACACTCTTTACAAATACGATGTCTATGTATTTAATAATGCAAACGGATCTCGATTTCTGATTAAGATAACTATTACATACGATAAATTTTAATTTGCATATTATTTTATATAGATTAGTTTGTAAAATCATAAAATAAAATAGGAAAAGTCTTGGCCTTTTTTAAATAGAAGATTATTGATAATAATTTTCAGAGATGTATACCCGTGAAATTGTTAATGATTGTATAATGATGTTATTATCTCAACATCTCGATAAGGTAACAACGTTGTTCCTGTTATCAAATCACCGCATTCTATATTTGCAATCGCTAATAGCGCGCAAAGAATAATATTATTGAACAAGCAAGTAGCGTGTAGGCTGTTATCAATGTTTGAAAATATTTTATCTGTGCTATATGTACTTAGCTTAACTGCATCATGCCCAGAGATGCGTGGGCGAGAGAAGTGATGCATCGATCAAACTTGTTCTACAAATCGCTGCGCCAGACTGCACCAGATGTAAACGAACTTTAAACAACATTTAAAGAGATCTGATCTGCTCGTAAGCCCAATCGCGGTTAAATAATCGTTCGATGGATAATATCGTAAAAGCAAAAAATGAAAATTTCGATAAATCGTGTTCTTTAATCGTGTACGTAGAGAAATAATTAATATTTCACATTTAACAACCGATCAGATTCTTCGACGCAAAATCCATGATAATGAGTCTGGGCAACGCTGGGCTTTCTCGATCATAGCGATCGATGGCAAATCGGGCAAATAGGTATATGAGAAAGAAACACGAGGAGCGATATAACGAGGGTGTATAACGTGCTTAATCCGTTGCTTACGTGCACGTGCTGTAAGGCATATGGCTGCGGCATATGGCCAGCTCCCGACTCCAAAAGGAGAAGCGAAGACCGTGAAGAGGTCATCGGTGTTCCTTGGCGATCGCGATTACTCGTTTCGAATGTTCGGCATCCGACCGCGGCCCGCGGACCGGTTCGAAACGCTTAACATTAACTTCCCATTGAACGGTTCTCGCATACCACAACAATCGGGACAAACGCAGGGCGTTACATTCGTCCGTTTCTCGTTATTTGCTCCGACCGCGGCCTAAGGTTGTAGTAAAAGTATAGTAAAATCGAGAGGGAAATCTCGGAGCTATATCTCCTAGGATATTTCGACCGTCAAACGATATTGAAATTTTTGTAGAATCGTGTAGTGCTTTGTCCACATATTACATTCCGCGATAAATCAGATTGATTAATTTCATATAATTATTAACACGTATAATTCAATATGGCCCAGATATAATTTTAAACTAATACGAATCTGAATCGAGGATCTTAAATTATATACACATTTATCCGAAAATTCCGAGATTTGTAAGCTTCGGTTTATCACCCGGAGCGAATATATGTATCATATACGATCGAGTTTTGGAATGACTTTTAAACGACGTTAAGCGAGACAGAATTTAGAGCCTAAGGCGATATTTCGGAGCGCAAGCCTGGTTACGGTTACGGGCTGCGCAGGGCGACGCCGACGGGAAGCAGGAGGTGTCGACACCCGGCACCCGGCACCTGGGCCGGCGCGACGTCGCTGTCGCGGCACGAGGGTGGGCTTCCACGATGATAAAAAAACCGCCGGCGATCGATAAGAAACCGCGAGCACGCGACAGCCGTGTGTATAGCCGGCGCCGCGGCGCGCGGGAAAGCGGGGAAAATCCACTACCTGACACCTTCCCCACCTCCCCAATGCAAGGAGAGCCGAATTACACGTTACGTAAAGGCACGAAACACCCTGTGTCACTCACCGCTCGGAATTGCTCCAACAATTCCTGCCGGTCGTCGATCGCGGTGGCCATGTTGTCCGAATATATAATCCTTCCGCCTTTCCTTTCTCCGCTCCGGCCGCGGCAGTCAGCAGTCAGCAGTGTCAGCACCCGGTCGCTGCTTCTCCGTCGCTCACGCCCAGACGCCCTTCGGTTCACTCCCTCTCGCCCTCTCGCCCTCTCTCCTTTCCTCTTTCGAATCGTCCGTCCTTCTCGGCTCGATGACTCGCGTGTACGCGGTACACAATGCGGCGCGCAACGTGCAACGTGCGACGCGCGACACGGCACTCAACCGTCAACGGTCAACCGAGGAACCGAGACGATTTTCTCACTCGATGTCTTTGCGCGGGCGACGCGTGTCGCGAACGCGCGATACTCGAATGCTCGATACGCTCGATACCGACCAGAAACGACGGCTCGGCCGCTCAGTTTCGGCAAAAGCGTTTTTGGAGCTCCACAGTGTCAACCTGCCAGTGTCAAACGCACGACAACACCCGAGTCACGAGTCACCCGACACGATCGGAGTCGCAGCTAGGACTGCGCGCTGCGCGCGGCGCGAGACGCGAGCGGTGCGCTCCAGCTCCAATGCTCCGAGCTCCGAAGTCTCCAAACACCGCGCGCCGCGCGCCGCGCGCGCCAGCGGACCGATCGTTGCCGAAAACGCGCGAAAACACTCGAAGCGCTCGGCGCTCGACGCTCGGCCGGCTCGGCATCCGGCGATCGGGCGGCGACAGGATGACACTAGACACTAGGACAGTGGGTGCGTTCAGCCGATACTCCGCTAGCCTAGCAATCGTGAGCAGTCGCTCGTTTTCGCTCGTTTCCTCTCCTTTGACCCAATAGATTAAAAGGAGAGGAAACGAGCGACTGCTCACAATTGCTAGGCTAGCGGAGTATCGGCTGAACGCACCGAGTTTGATCCGTGTGATACACGCTGGTCCCGCGACCTCGAGTGTATGTGTATGCGTGTACCGAATTCCATTTAATAAATATATTTAAAGATCAATTACCGAATTATTTGCAGCATTTTTAACTTGTGCACTATTCAATCACTGTAGCACGAGCTGAACGAGCTGACTACTGCATGGTTGCGACTTACAACTCACTTCAGTTTGATTTAATAAATTACAATTTCTTGGAAAGCGCGGAATTTGAATCGGATTTACACCGCACCGACCGCACTATCTCTTATATAATATGCCTAATAATTCGAACAATTTTTCTTTATTGAAAGACGCTTATCCCGGCTCTCGCTCTTAACTTTATATCTATTATAATTATCCTTAGAAATAAAAATATGAAATCACAAAATACAATTATATTTTACTTTAAACGAAACTTAAAACGTCCGACATATATATGAAAATTAACATAAATATGCAACGTTTTGTCATTTTATATAAATATTACATACGTGACATGTTTTTATAATTATAAAATTAATACTATTATTGATATATACCTTATATAATTCGTATAATTAATTTGCTATCTTTGTATAACGTAATTAGTTTACTGTAATAATTTATGATTTATCTTGTAAGAACCATGACCTTATCTTATAAGAGGCTCGGCTAAAATCATGCACGGACAACCGGAACAACGAATTCACGGTAATATTGTAATACATTTCATTCGGATGCAAAACGCGAGACCGCCATGACGATGACTTATTTTTCACCAAGTAATATACGTTGGGTTCGAAAAAATACAAGTTGACTCATTCCTATATCGTCGTTGAGGTCAGCTGCTGTCTCGAGTCCCGATACTCCCGTCCCCAATCATGATATCGAAACGCATCATCGCAACTCGCGACTCGCGAAAACGGTTTGGCTCGATCGTTTTGTTTTACGATTCTCATTACAACGAAGAAATACTCGTTATCGCGTTTATCTCCATTAAATTATATGAGAAAATAAATCGTAGATAAAAAGAAATATGTTTTCAATATTTTCATTATCTAAATTATGCAAGATTGTTAAATGACTCGCATAAAAGAGTACATGCTTGCATGATATCGCTCGAGCGCCCTTTCCGTTTTCCACTTTCAGAACGTGTAGTCACATTGAGCCAGAAATTCACGTCTCCCTCGACTTTTATTGACATTCTATCTCTCCCACCACGTTGAATATGCTTCTACGGTCATCGACATCTACCCCTTCTAAATAATGTTACCTCGCGGGGGATGGAGAGAGAGAGAGGGAGAGAGAGAGATAAACCGTCCCGGACTCCCCAGAGAGGTTTCATCTCCCGAGATAATTTTTCAAGTTTTTCCGAGAACGTTTACGCGTTAGAATAATACAATAATACAAAAATATAAACAAGTATTCTATGGCGCAAAGACAAAGCTTACATAAAGATTTAAAAAATATATAAAACTTAATTGTACTAGATCCTCGTTACGTGACAAACTTAATTTTTTTCGCCACTATACATAATTTTGTAATTTAATAATTTTTTTACTAATATATATAATTAACAAGATTTTAAGAAATTGAACTAAGTTCATAATTTTGCGGCTATTAAAAGTATAACGGTGAGAGGCGAGAACAGTGAGATAAGACATAACAGAGACCAATATCGGATATTAAGAGCAAATATGAAACAGTCACATCAAGAATCTAATCGGATTATCGGATAATATCAAACTTAAAAGCACATAAAATACTACGAGAATTAGATAACGGCTTCTTTGACGTCAAGTGATTTATTCATAGATACATCTACGATAATATATGCAACAAGAAGTAAATCGCTTTCTTATCGAAAGGAGCGGGGCTTCGCCTCAAATAAGGTCCTATTGCAAAGTGATGATATATCTTTATCGCTATACATATTAAGTTAGCCTTCAGAAGTTACAGAAATGTTTCGCTTTATACAATTATTCGATGGCGAGTAAATTATACACGCCCTGGTCAAAAGGTTTCAAGATAAATTACGGTAAAACTGTAGAGGCGCTCGAGAATATAATAAATTCACAACAGAATACCAGAATCATTCGTAATATTTACCTGCTGCGGAGAAGATCGCAGCTTTAATTATATAATAATCTATATTAGAAAAAAAAGACTACGCTAAGTATGAAAAATCCTATCCCAGTAATGAAAATTCTAATCCGTGAAAATGTCACTTCTCTCAAAAACTGCTTCGAGTATTAATTCTGCAAAAATATTATCCCCACTATTTAGAAAAGAATTTCGTTGTGTTTATGCATGTGTGTGCGCGCATATCAAGGTAAAAGTATATTTACAAAACTATTAGCTGCGTAAAAATGTAACATTCATCATTCAATGGACTAAATAATCACGAGTAATTTACGCTAATTTAACACAATTTGCACGACTATTTCATATTACGCTGAGAATGATGCTGCCGAGATGTTTGCGCACAACGAGAAAGTCGATGCACGTAATAGGGTGTTAGATAGAAAGGCATGTAGGCACTTGTGCCTTAGGTATCTAACGAGTAATTAATAATCTGAAATGATACAAATATCTCACGGTAACGCAGTAGTACAGTAGTTAGAATCTAGCTAGAATACATAAGACGATATACCGTTCCGATTTCCCTTTACGGTAACGCATTGACAATGCACGCTCAACAAAGATAAATATAATATGTATAACTGTCAAACACAAAATATTTTAATTTTAAATATCTTGCGTCCCGTTTTTCTAGTACCGAAACTGAATTGATATTATACATTGTTATATTAAGAAAGAAAAAATAATGAGACAAAGATATCGAAATGTCAACGACTAATGTTAGCGTTCTTGAAAATGCTATCATTAGAAATCTGTTAGATTATATTACCTGCGTCACGTCCAACATTAATCGAAATTACCGATTATTCGATCTTATTGATCTATACAAAAATATATGTATACACAACTCGTCGATTCTTTGTTTCACAGCCTGTTTTAAATAAAAAGTAGCATACTCATTGCCGACAATGTACTAGTGGCTAGAATTTGTCAGTAGAGTCAGTTTTATAATAAATTCGTGTTACAATAAAATTCTATCAATCGAATTCTTCAACGTTTCTCTTAGGCTATAATTAATACTAGAACAATAATCCTCCGTGTTCGTTAGCAAAGCTCGTTCATCAAACGTCAAGGTTTATCCAACAAGTATACAACTATTTAAAACACACTGTGCTGTCGTTGATTTAATCTTTTCGGGTTTTTGCTACAAAACTCAAGATTCTTCAATTTTTTTATCAGTAATTATATTTATATATAATTCTTTCAGACTCGTTCACGATTTATTCGCGATTTAGCCTAAGATAAAAGTTCTTGCTCTATAATATAAAACACTCTGCGTTCCGCATACATTTCGCATTGGATGGAACTTTTACGTTAAGTTAAGAAACACAAACTTTTCATAGTAGTTAAAAAAGAAATAATAGTTAAAGATATTGATATAAAGCGAATTTCGAAAATTCGTATCAGAATCAACGCTCGTTCAAATATCCAATCTCAATTTGTGATAAGACGTTCTACATATAGAATAATGGCATTCTTGGTGGAAAGTCAACGCGGCTTATCGCAAAAATCAACGTCTTCATAAAATGCTTCTCTAATAAATCTTGCAATCTAATAACGTATCTGCTTAATATTATTTGATTGTATACTCTCTGAAATACAAACTAATAATCTTATCCACGTTATGTGATAATAATCCACAAAATTGTTGTACTTAATAATTCAGTAACTTAATTTTGACAATTATTTGAAAAGAGGAACATGATAAAATGCAGCTCTATGGTTAAGAATTTGGAAAATTGCATAGATGACGAACAGATATAAGATGAGGAGAGTCGTAAAAATTATAAACAAGTGTAAACGCAAAACACAGTAGAGTTGTATAGCCTCTGGTGCAAAAACAGAATATTTACAGATTACTATTTCGGGAAGGCAGAGTAGATATGCTAATTTATCTGCTTGTCTGAATCGTTTCTTTTTATTTTATACAAACTATAGCTTATGTTTATTCTATCTTCTGATATATTCTAATATCCTATATGTATAATCTATATTTATGTATAATCATAATACACACATCTCTCAGTCTATTCTGTACATACGATCGGATCGGCGCAAAGGAAATCCTCGCTTGTCGCTTTGTGCACCCAACAGACGTTTTGAAAGCCGATACAAAAGATCGACGGACACTTCGCCGTCGTAACGCCATATTCCGGAACGATTGGTTGTGGATAAATCATTGTTGAACCGACAACATCTTCGAGAATATCGTTCATCGGGTTAATCGGCTTGTAATATATCCTCATTTCAGGGTATACCAATATTAATAGTTAAGATAACACGCATTATAGACCGTGTTGTTAAGATTGCTGCAAATGATGCAGCATCTCGTGGTCACAGATCGTTAATTATCTCGCGTAGAAACTATCTCGTATCATCCACAGTGAAAGGCGCGATTACATAAGATTAAAAAAAAAAAACCGGCAATAACATTCATCTCTACGGAAAAATCGATTACAAAACTATAAAGGCGTACATCACGGTTCATCCGTGATTCGTCCGCTGTTGGTGTGAAATAAAATCAATAATTTTTCGTAAAAAAAAAAAAAAAAAAAAAAAATATCAATCCAACGAAACAACACAGACGAATACTTTCACAGTCGTGCGTAGGTCAAGGTAAAACTAGCGTATGTATCTTCGTACAATCGAATTCCAAGACGCACGCGCGTAAGTGCGTTGATTGTGTATGTGTACATGGAAGCATAGAAATAATTTTTCGATATCGTGCATTGTGCAGCACTGTCCCTAATTGTGAATGAAATTTTCATAGATCGATGTATAAATGCGGATCGATGATTGACTAGCGATGCTACTAGCATCTAAATATCTATAATCTTTGCAAAATACAAATGAAAACCACAATTTATAAGAAATGTTCACTATGTATGATCGCTATACCGTAATTCAACTATGCTATAATACTTTGCATCTTAAGTTCGCTCGCTCGCTGATAAACGATATTCGAATAACGTACGACCTGCAATAGTTCGGTGAGAAACGATGGTTAACGTTAACTTTGCATCGCGAGTTCATAGATCGAGAGTCGCTATTATCGCAAACGTCCCGGAGCCTCGTGCGGAGCTAACAGACGACACGAAGTGGGCTAGTGAATCCTAGGACGAGGAATGTCGTTTTCCTAGACACCCGCTTCTGTGTCGGTGGTGCTGCCATGGTACTCCTGGGGCTGAGAAAGGGAAAGAAGTGCATCCAGGCCTAATGATTCAGCCGGATCTGGCGCGGATCTCGACTATGTTTAACACAAAAAAGACTGCCTCTAAAACTATAGTCGAGTGCATAACAAAACAATGCAACAAAGACGTAAAACTAAAACCTTGTCGAATAAAATTTCATGATGTGGAACGTTTACATATATTCGCTGACATGCATATTTATTATACCTATGAAATAAAATATAAAATGCGGGCGATAATATACACAATCCGATAATGTACATAACCTTGTCGGTTTTACAAAATTAAAAAAAAAAAAAAAAAAACGATACACATTATGTTTTTCCGAACACTTTTTTCCTTACCGATGCACTTTTATCGGCTTCTTTACAGTTGCTACAAATATAATCATCTTCCTCCGCAATTTCTGTACGATCCAATCCGACACAATGCATATGGAACCAACCTTCGCAGCCACCGTCACACTGAACCCAATCTACTTCTTTACCTAAATAACAAATAAAATAAATACGTGTTGAAATATAGACAAAATAAAAATATAATTTTAAAAAGTAACAAATAAGGGTATAATCAAAATACTCTCAAATTAAATCATATACATGAAAATAATTCGTATAACATATTTGATACACACTGTATGATCAAAAAATTTATGTACACAATCATTGGCAATATAATGTTTATTACTGACAATATCCACATTGTATATATTGCGACAAATATCTTTATTATATATATATATAGAGAGAGAGAGAAAGAACATTTATAACGCTTATTAGAAGATATCATTAAAACCACGTTGCAAATATATTGTAGGCAATGTCCTTACCACTAGGCCGTAAGCAGTTAACCGCCGCGCAATCGTCCTCTTCGTCCGAACTTTCTTGCTTGGTCTTCTTCGTGCGATTACCGCCTCGCTTCCTAGGACTTTCATCGCCCTCGCTCTTGCGTTTCATCTGCAATTCATATTTAACTGAAATTAAGCTGTTCAACGTTCGCCAAAACTATGAATTACCGATTGTCATAGATCATTAAAAAATGTCTCAAATTTAAACTTCCTAAAAATCATCGACTTATTCGATGATGTTCACAAAACAGAATTAAGTACTCTTATCATGAATTTAAAGCTATTATGTGTAAATTAGGTGGAATGCAAATTTACCATGAAAATTTGCTGACTTCATTAATTTATCATTTCTAACAAAATTAATATTTTTATTAATACGAAAGATTTAATTCGAGACACAATCAATACCGGAGAGTCAATTACCTTTCGAGGTCCGCGCTTTACAGGGATCGGTGAATTGCTCTGTCTTTTTTCCTTAGTGATAGGACCGCCGCTTTTGCTGCGTTTAACCACATTTTTCTCATCAGCTTTTTGTCGCCCGATTTTCTTAAGTAACTCGAACTCCTCTGATTTCCTCTTCCTACCCCGTTTCTTCACATCCTTCATCTCCTGATTGATATTCGCTTGGACTTCCTCGAGCGACTTGTATTTCCGCATGGTGTTGTGAGTATTCATGTAACTCAATATGCGCCAAATGTGCTGTGTTTCGTCCAATGCGACTTCTAACAAGTCACCTTCCATCATAAGTTCCTCCAAACGCGATCTCGTACTTGAAGATAATGTACCGAATGACTCACTGTCACTCGATTGAGTTTTCCGCCGAACTTTCGAGACTGAAATAATAATATATAAAATGCAATTATTTTCCGATTAAATATTTCAAATACATTGCATATATGTATCGCTATTCGAGAAACTTACTATATGAATATGCGTGTTCATTACTATTGAAAGTACTACATGTTGGTTCGTCATCCAAGGTAACAATATCGTCATCGTCATCCTGAAATATTTAAAATATTTATATATTTCGTTTTATTACTTATAAGCAACATTATTTATAATTAATATATATATAAATCGCAATCAGTACTCACAGCAGTGCTAAGCGTGCTATCATCCGAATGCACTCCGCTAAGTGGCGCGATAGCCTGCACTCTTTGATGCAATTCAGGATTATTCGCTGCCTTTTTCAACTCGCTGCTGATAATTTTTTCCGTTTTCTCTCTCGCTGCAGCTTCTACTAACTTTTGCGACATTACAGAAAGTTTCGTCAGTATCGATGAGACTTCGTCGGTAGACAAAGCTTTCCTCGCTCGATCCTAATTAATATACATTTAGTTAAAGACACCATTTACTTATTTAGATGATGTTATAACATATTTGATGAGAATAACTACCTGCCAATTCATCGCGCGTTCCGTTAAGCACTGCAACGCTTCTCCCTCTGGCAATCGGATCGGAATTTTCTGAAGGCTCACTAAGAGAGCCAGTATAGTTTCCAGACGAGGTCGTCGAGAACGTAGACAGCACGGACACAAAAACTTCATGTCCCTCGGCCCTGGTGGTTTACCTTTGTATGATGTCTTAGACAGAGGCACACAGTTTGCTGTGAAATAAAAGTTCACACATATATGTACACACATAACGAGACAATATAAAATAACTATCTTTGGTTATTTAAATTGTTGTACTTACTGTGGAACCAATCCTTGCAAAGCTCGCACTGGAGCATAATGCCGAATCTTGGTCGCCGGCAAACGCAATACTTGGAATCTTCTACTTCAACTTTCATCTTCATCAAATTTCTCTCTCTCAAGCTTCTCATAGCCTCCATTTCGCGCTGTTCTGCCAGCTTGAAGGCAGCTACCACGTTCGCCGAGTTGCTAGAATCGTCCAATTTTGTATCACAGACATAAACGGCGCCTATGGATTCGTCGCCTTTATTCTTCTTAGTTTTCATTGCCTGTACACCGACGCCGATTCGCGGCGATAGAGCTTCCATCAGCGTATAGTGCGAGTTCTTCCTCAGAAATGTTCTCGCGGTCCTTTCTTTCCATCCTTTCGCCTGTGAAAGCGTAGATTCCAGCGTCGGAAGGTCATTTAGATGCAAAGGGATGTTTCTTCCTTTCCTTAACAAATCGTCCAAGGTATCGTAATACGGAAAGTTCTCTCTCGCTCGTATATCGTCGATCAGTTTCGTCCACGTCTTCGCTTTGTTCAGAATATCTTGAAGAGTATCCAAACTCGGCAAATATGCCTCAACCTTATCAGCCTCGCGAATAAACTCTTCCACAGCCACGATAGTTCGTCTATTTTTGGTGTTGAGAAACACTTTGGCCTTCTCTTCCCACTTATCGATCGCCTTCGTTAACGCGTGCAATTCTGACAATCTATCTTCGATCTTGACATGAGGCGGTATCGTCATGCCTTTCTCGATCAATTTGGCAAGCTCTTCGCGACTAATAGATTTCGGATCATCTTGGAGGGATTTTACTTCTTCTAGCCACTGTATCTGTGCCAATTTCTGTAAAATAAAATATTTTAGTGAAACAAAATATCTACTTTTAAAAATAAACATACGTCTGTGTGGTTACATACTTGTTTCAATCGTACTAGTTGGGGTAATTCGATGCAAATAGAATCACCAAAATCGATGCATTTCTTCAATTTCTCAACATCGCATTTCTCGTCTTTCTCCAATTCTGCCGCATCCTTTTGAAACTGTAATACTTGATCGAGTATAAATTTTACGCCATCCGATTCCTTAAGCTCACAGCACAGGTTGGTTAATTCCTTATAGAAAAGTGTTAATTCTTCCACAGTGAGCTTATACTTAGCGGTATCGACCGTTTGTCTAGTCCTATACAAATGAGAATTGTGTAAAAGCAAATAAAATCATATGAATCACAATACAGAAGCCGCAATAAAATCTTACGCTTGTACCAACCTCGTACGCTGTTTGTTGTTTAATAGCTGTTGCGCAACGCTCGCGCATTTCTCAGCATCTTGCACAGCGGTCGTTAAAGCCGTCAGTAATTCGCTCTCGGGAAACTTTTTGTTTTCAGCTTCGTTCAAAAGTTCTTTCAACTCGGTTAATTCAATTTTGTCATTTTTAGGAACCATCGCTTCCTTCACTTTGGTCACCCACGAGTCAAACGACTCAGCCTTCAGTTTTAATTTTTGCAACATGATCGGTAGCTCGTCCAACGTATATCGATAACGCAACGTATGCTTCTCTGGTGGACAGGTACACAACTCAGCAAAGTGTCTCAGACAAACTAACTGCGAGCTGTGGCACGAACATGTAACTGCACTCAGGAAACAGGTAGTCTTGCATGCTTCGCACTGTCTCTCATCGTCTGGTAGAAGCTCGAAAGCCTCACGTTCCGCCTCCGTCACACCCTGAACAGACCAAGTTATCCAGATGTGTTATCCACAAATACACTAAATCTGTCTCTCGTGTCTTAGCGACTTTTTAATGAAACACTTGATATGACATAAATCATTAAATCTAGAATAGCGATATCGAATTGAAAATTGTATTTCACTGACGCATACGTATCCATCTGCGGAGGGCGAACGTAACGCGGTATGGCGGGATTCGGGAATGGACGCGTTCACGCTGGTTCACGCGATCAACGTGACGCACCGCCCCGAGGATTTGGCGCGTAAATACGCACTTCCAGGCAAGTCCTGCGAAACAGCCGCGAGAACGCGAGAAGACCAAACGCTGCGCGTTTAGTTTAGCATCATGGCACAAGGCTTCGAAAACATAACCTCTTTACTCACCTATATGTAAGTTACATAACTAGAATAAAGGTGCAGCGAATAAAAGTCAGTCAAGGCTGACGGTCACGATTACGCGAATTATTTCGGCCACGAGAACGCAACGATAACAGCAGGTTCGACGGAATCGGCAATAATGAAAATACGTGGCGACACTAATTACGTTTATAACGTGGACAGATTGTCCTGCCAGCTCCAAATGGTTGACGTCGTTGACGACGATACCAGGATACCGCGAGTGCATATATATACGAATTTTGCCGCGCCGCGCGGCCCGCGTGTGCGTATGTGTGCTGTGTGCTCGTATTCGTGTGTGTGCGCGTGTGCGCGCGCATGTGCGTCAGCCGCCAGCGCGCTCAGCGCTGTTGGCACGTAACGACGTACTACTTGGCCTAAATATATTGACCTTCCACAACGGTATTGCCAGTGTTCACACATTAGATCTTTTCCATTGGAAACAAGACCGTATCGGCCCTGGTATTCGTAGTCGGATCTTATATTATATTTAAAACCGTCTTAGGTACAATCTTAGGGCCTGAGCAGAATGACTGTCTTATAGAAATTTAAGATAATGTTTTATGCTTTTTAAATCTTTATTTTTCATAACGCACAATACTGTCTTGTGTCTCAAGTCTCACAAATATTGACACTTCGTACACACGTTTAAAACGTTAGTTTTAAAGCACAAGACAGTATTGTGGGTTACTAAAAACAAAGATTTAAAGCACAAAACATTGTCTTAAAATTACAAATCAGCATTCTGCTTAGGCCCTTTAAGGCTTCTGAATACTCGCCGTACTCCTTATTTGATGACGTCAGAAGCGAGAAACGTTGAAAATTCTTGCGTGCAATTTCCAAATAAAAAGATATTTGCATAAAATAATACTTCAACACACTTCAAAAATACTCCGAGGTCTATCTCTTTCCCTTGACACTTGACAGTCGATAAACAGCCGTAAAATGAATGTAATACGAAGCCTAGTCATACAGGCTTATGCGCAAGCACATGACTAGGCTTCGTATTACATTCATTTTACGGCTGTTTATTGACTGTCAAGTGTCAAGGGAAAGGGATAGACCTCGGAGTATTTTCAAACTGTGCCGAAGTATTATTTCATGCAAATATCTTTTTATTTGGAAATGACACGCAAGAATTCTCAACGTGTCATTTCTTGCTTTTTGATGTTATCAAACAAGAACAGACAAGCGGCGAATACCCGGGAAGCTTAAGATGTTATATACCAATCGCAACAGAGCCGCATTAGCATCTTAAGACGATTTTGAAATAAGAAAGTACTACGAATATCGAAACGCGATACGAATATGGAACATCTTTCCTAAATCTTGAGATATAAAATATTCGACATTTCGGGTATCAACGAATAAATAATGTACAGCAGCAGTTAAAGAGTAAAACAAAACTAGGTTCGTTGTAAAACAATTGATATAAAAAACATTAAATATTTAGAGATGACAAATGGTAATTAATTAGTAATTAAAATCTTAAATTCTCATTAAAAGATTGCGTCATAAGATGCTACAAGTTGTTCGTATTAAGAAATCTAATATATAGTATTAAATATTGATATATAGACTTACCCATTCTAGTAAGTTTTTCCGCAATTTTTTCTCATCCTCCACCATTTGCAACATGTCGTGATACGTCGCGGTTGCGACTCCGATATCTAACGTATCTGGATCCAATGACATTTTACAAACTAGCTCATCGTGAGAAAATACACAGAATCTTCTTAAATTTGAATAATGCGTGATGCATTCCCGTCCGATCTTAAGCTGATAAGAAAAACAATTATTTTAGTATTACTACTCGAGTATGTGTAAGGTATAATTTAAATTGTCGAATGTCCTAATACCGCACGCGCGTCTATTTTATTCGGATCTAAACGAATTCGAGTGTACCACGATTTACATACCCAATCTGCTGGTGCAAAATTGACAGCTTCTGCAAAATTGTAACCCTGATTAAAGCCTGCGTGGTACGCTCTTGGAAATGTCACGACAAATTCACCTGCGTGCTGATCTGTTCTAAATACCGGTACTCCTGTTAAACAATTACAAAATTATATCAACCATAAAAATAAATGTAAAATAATAAATTTTAAAAAAATGTTGCAGTTGCAAACTAGATAAATTTCAGATAATCTGAGTTAGAAGAAACAAATCTTACAAGTTTCCTGATCTTTTCTTTTCAACGATAAATCATCTTTATAAATTTGTTATATATTTTTAATTATACATATATAGAAATGTATTCGTTTTTTAATGTATGTGAACACTATGTACGGCATACCTTCGCTTATTAATATATTTGGGTTCATAATGGTAACAAGTTGATGCAACAAATCGGGCTGACTGTGAAACAGTTCCGGTGCGGCGGACTTCATGGATTTCTCGAAACGTTCCGCCTGAGAACCCGGTACGCCATACCATGTCTTTGGTTCGCCCCAATGCAGATAATTAATGGAATAACTCCAATGATCCTCATTGTGCCAACAGAATGTCGCGAAGCACATGCCGACATACATCCAAGGAACTTTCATGCCACTAATATCAGCATTAATGTGACCCAGGATGCTTCCACGTAAAACTGGCAAATTATTCAAATTCCACGAAGATTCGGCATATTCTTGATCGCAAGTGAATAAATTAACGCTGGTCTTGGTTGGAAATCCGGATCCATGATCCATCGTGTGCAAGTCGGCGCCGTATTCTACAGTCACGTCTTCGTCGATGGACGAGACTATTCGCCAGAACTCTTTTTCCACTAGTGATGTTGGAACCATCTACAGACAAAAAATTATTAAATATATAACAAAGATAAAAATATACATATATATACGAGTGTGCATCTCTCGTAATGGCCAGCGATGACTCACATGCACAGGCATATTAAAGTAGTCGCTCTTGAACTGATCAGCCATTTCTCCGAATTGCTGCAGCGTGTACTCTCTCTGCGCTTGTTCGAAGCCGAACGCCTCCATTGGCTTCGAGACCTCCTCGGCGACGCACTTGGGACATCGCCAGTCACCCTTTGGTATTTCCGTCAATGGTGGCATAAGGCAAAATGTGTGATAGCTGTCATCACATCCATCGCACAACAGCATGTTTTCTTCATTGTCACCTCTCCCGCAATTGTGACAAATATATTTGGCCAACTAAATGAGAACGGAGGAAAAGATAAAAAAATTAAATTATCATAGTATATAGTTATTGAATTATATACTATTTCTTATTGTTAAGTGTTATAAATTTATATAACATAAATAGATTGTCAACGTAAACTTACAGGATCAAAATCGTAAACAAGTTTCAAACCACGCGTTTTGTTAGATTTCTTTCCCTCTTTGGTATTAAAGCCAGCCATTTTCGGGCCTGGTCCGTAAAATTGTAATTTTTTAAGTTCTTTGCTTTTATCCGTATCGCAACTGAGCCTGTTTTTAATCTTATCCTTGCATTCATTGTCCGAATCGCATTCCTCCTTGCAGTCTTCCTGTTTAATCGATGCATCTTGCTTCTCTTCTTGCCCGGAAAATCGCTTAGATCGCCGCGAGAATTTTTCATTTGGCGGTTTAATTTGCTGTCGAGATATTATGCCATGCGGCTTATAATCGCGATCCCTCTTCTCATTCGCGTCCGAATCTGGCTCCATTTTCTATATAAACCAAACGAAAAATTAGTTTGCACGTGACTACAAAACATAATCGCATAATTATTACTAGTTTAAATAAATTATAATTAAATTAAAAACAATTAATTTCACGAGAATGTTAACGTGATATGAACGTGACAATGAATAATTTCCCGCGGGCCAAAATTTGACTTACAATATCTGACAATGTCTTTCCTTGCTTGAAAACGTCAAAGGGATATAAAATTCTCTCGTAGTGATTTTTCAATATGCTGCCTACGCTTCGTCCGGATGGATAGCCCAGTTTATTGGCAATTTTTGCCCATCTTCTTTCCTTGGTCACAGTTTCTATGCCACCTGCAAATATAACGCGTAGAAATTAAAACTGTAAACGTATAAAGTGTGCGATAAATAAAATATAGAAATAAAATTTACCTTCGTCTGTGACTATTTTATGTAGGGAATACAAGTCTAATGCCTTGCGTTCTACCAGCGGAATTTTCAAGGAGGAACCTTGAAGCTCCCAAAACTTTGCGATTTGATCTAAGAAATTAAGCTTTATCCTGGTCTTGGCTTCTAATTCGTTTAACCTTTGTATTCTCGGAACAAATTTGAATTTGTCCACGTCCACGGCAAATGGTGGCTGCCAGTTCTGCAACACAAACCATAACGTTAATGAATATCTACAAAAAGAAGTTTGATTTGATAGTTTTATTTGGACATAAATTTGGAATAAAGGATAAAAATTCTCTCGGTTCCCCTCTCTCCCTCCTCACTCACTTGTACATATAAAGTTTAAGTTTAGAAAAATATTTTGAATTTAAAGTCGATTAATAGTTATATGTACTTGTGACATCGACAGCGGATTATTACTTATTCACGGAGCTGGAGATCCGGTACTATTTCGGGTCGTAACTAGAGGCGCGGTATACGTGGCCCTTACCTCACTGTAACTAACGACTAACGTCTAACGTTCGATAGCAAGGATAAGAAGATACGTGAGTTTTCAACAAACTTCCTTCGATAGACATCGTACACACATCAGGTTAAATTTGGAGTAAAGATGTCAACGTGTAGATTTAATCTCGTTTATATATTGAGATCTGACAAACTCTATCCAAGTATTTTATCCTGAATATAATATAATATAACAAATATTTTACACTATATAATACATATTATTATACAGACAAATTGTAGAAAACCTACGTATATCTACATATTTTTTATTTACAAGATGGCACGTGCATTGATTGTTATTCATATTTATAGATATTCTATTTATAGAGATTCTACTCGTATAATTATGTAATGAAACAACGAAACGAAACAATCGATAAAGTGTTACGAGGACTTGGAAACATTTGGATGGTTGCACAGAGAAAAGTCGATTTCCAAATTTAAAGAATTTAATATTAATATCGAAGTTCGCTGCAACAAATTGTATGCGCGACCAAGTTTCGTTGATCGGTTCTACACTAACCAAGTCGTATGTCGGAACGCAGCCGACGATTCAAGGAGAGACGTACTTTTTCGAGAATAAACGTTCCTCATTCTTCCGACTCCGACAAGTCAAACATACGACTTATCGTAAAAGGCTTAATTAACAGGCCTAATTAAGCAGCAAGCGTCCAACGCCCGTGTGTAACGACGGCTACGACACACAACTTCCATAATGGCGGCGTGCTCTCGGCCAAATATCAGCCTCTAGGCGTCTAGGCTCTAGAAAGCGTTAGAGGCTGCCTTCATCGTCGTGCTCCTTCATCGTGCGTAGCGTAACGTCCGTGCAAGTTGGTTGGACCAAAATTCAGCGGAGCGCAGATTTTCGGTGACGTTCCACGCAGTAGGAAAATTTATTACGATTCTTTCATTTGTCAATTGAATTGGGCGACGTATACTCCGAAAGCAAGTCAAGTATAGACAGATGGTGAATAAAATTTAGAAAATTTTAATTAAGTAGGCGTAGTCGAGTTTTTGTTTTGCACGCTGGGACTCGAAGCGTGCAACGTCAACGTAAAGAGTCAAATGTAAAACGAGTAACAGATTATATCATATATGTATATTAGATGAACGAAGAAAAAAAAAAACAATTTTGTATTTTTTATGTCCATAGTCATAATGCACGAGTATGCAGATATATACGATGTACGATGCCCTCGCCTCCTGGCCCCTCCCTCCCCTCCGAGAGCCCCGCGCCCCGCGCCCAACTTTAGACTAGTTCAGACGGTTCAGACGTGACGCCGCAAATAATGCCTCTATCGATTCTTTTTGGGAGGATCCGCGATAGAGGAAACTTTACTTTACTGTATCCCTTTCGCACTTGTAACGATCGCGTTTTGGGACGTTCTAAGTGCAATGTAAGTAAACTTGCCACGGCGCGGCATGGCAGTTTACCTCGTTACTTTCAGCAGTTTCAGCCACATATATGCGTCATTCCCTGTTCTCTCGGGCGACAGAGAAGAAAGAGACACTTGATCGGAATATTTCGAGGCTCATTAAACGGTTTGAGAAGCCGTGCAGGTGTCGGTGTCGCAGGATGAAACCAAACTCGAAAAAATGTGTTTTTTCGTACAAAATGCGCGATTAATGGATTTTACTTATTTGCTCGTTCAGCCTTTATCAATATAGAACGCTATTGCTGATAAAGATTACTCAAAAAATAGCCAACACTGCGCACTAACGTCTTGGACATCTTGGACGAACGTTCCCCACATCACGTTACACTTGTTCATGCACGTATTGGAAGCAATAAACAAAGCAGCTCCGAGCTCCGAGTTTTCCATCGATATGACGCGTTAAAATTAAACGATTAGAGATTAGATAAAACAACAATGCATCGCGGTCGTAAATTATGCAGAATCACTCATAAATCGGTCGTATCGGAACGAAGTAAGAAGAAACGTCGTAGAGACAACTTGCAAAGTTTCAGCAAATGGAGAGAGAGGGAGAGAGAGAGAGAGAATAAAATAAAGTAATAAACAATCGACTACAGCCGGGATAATTATTAGGTATCGATTAGCCGGCGTAGGTAAAAATCAATACGTATTCGAGAGTTTGCGGCGCCTTGACGCTAGGTTTTGACGGGCAGGCAGGCAGGCTTACACCTGCCAGAGAGAACGACGTCCGGACATCGCGGTATACGCGCGCGCGCGTTATCATTTCACCTTCGTGCGGCTACGTTTTCGCCTAGACGTACTTCCTCACGATCTTTACTGTCGCGTATTAAAGATTGCCACCTATCTCAATGCACTTGTCGCTCAAAATTCGCGTCGCGACGCGACGCGAGGCGAAGCACGCGGAAGTGAATGCCAAAATGTCGCGGTCGCGGACGAGGAGAAATTTGGTCAGAGGCGAAAAGCATGTTTTAGGAAGGAAGAAGGAAAAGATGAACTTTAAGCTCTTAACTCTATGTATATCGGGCGGCAGATGCCATGCGATCGATATATATGCACGTAGGGTTTAACCGTTAAGCGCTTCGTCATTAGGTACTTAAACGTCTACGTTTTTGCATTTTTCTGCAAAACGTTCTCACGCGGACGATATTTCCACGTCTCCACGTTTCTACGTCGCGGTCTCGGTCGCGTCGCGCGCGCGAGCCAAAAAACATGCGTCTCTCGCGGATCTGTTCGAATATTTGCGTCGCCCACGCTAGTCGTAGGAAGAAAAAGCAGTTTCCGGAGTCGTCGGAGTTTTTCCTCGTTTATATACGGAAACAAGATGGTGGCGCAAATAGTTTCTAATGGTGGCATAAAACCGACGACGGACGAGTCCGTCCATTCGGGCGACTCGGGACTCGGGACTCGGGTGGATGCTCCGAGCTCAGGTGGGAATGGGAAGATCGCGAAAGGTTTCGCGTTGGGGCAAACAGATCCGACCGACGTGCACGGGAGAACCCTGGCAGGCTACGGCCGAGAGAGCTCGTGGAGTGAAAGGTGACGATAGCGCGGAAAAAAATTATGTCATGCGGCGAACTGCAACGCGCCCAGCGATGAGATTCTCTCCTCGGCACTCGGCAGCGGCAGGCAGGAACACGCCCGCACGCCCGCTCGGCCCCGCTCGCGACGGAAAAACTCCGCTTCGAGGCTCGACTGGCTCGAGGGACGAGGAGAGCGATCAGCGAACGAGACGGAAGCGACGCGGAAGCGACCGGAGGAGAGCCCGTTGCGTTTGAAAGGCGCACGTTTTTCGGTTTCGGCCGCGGCCGCGGCCGCGGTCGCGAACGCGACGATAACGGGAACGCGCCGCGCCGCGCCGGCACGCGCGCGTCCTGTTCGACTATTCTGTTTGGATAAAATCGCGACCTCGCGATCGTCCTTTTCCTCAGTTTTCTAGAGACGTAGCATCTCGCCGATATTTCCTCGAGGCCCTCGTGTCTCGCCATTTTACATGGCGCGGGCGGTCGACCGCACCGCGCGCACTTATCGTTATTTAACGCGACCCTATATACGCTCGTATCGATGTTTCCGTTACTGTTTTTTACTAATATCACCGTTGTCATCGACGTTCGTGGCGATGCGCGTCCGCGAAAGGTATTCCGTAATCCCGTCGTGCAGCCGTACGTTACGTTACGTCGCGACGAGCGGAAAAGGAGACGACGAAGAGTTTTTCCATCTCGCTTCCATCTCGTTCGATATCGAGCGTCTCGACGGTCAGGAGCGTCCACTCTTTTTCCTACGTTTCCTTTCCCTTCTCGCCGCTTCTCGCCGCTTTGTCCGACATCCTAACGCAACGCGTGACCACACGTACGCGTGTTACGTTTCGCAGGCGGAGAAAACATGGAGACCTCGTGGAAGAGGCAGCGCGCAGCGAGAGGAAGGTGGAATACACGATGCGTGTCTCGTGTCGATCACGCGAGCAAGTCCCCCTGAACCTTTGCTTCTTCTTGTTCCTCGTCCTCGTCCTCGTCCTCGTCGTTGTCGTGATCGTCGACGACATTCTACTTATTTGAAAAAAGTGCGTTTTACATAAAAACGAGGTCGCGCACTCCTCGTTCGAGGATGCGACTCTCGTGCCCTTTCTTTCAGACTGCGCGACAAGAGAGAGAGAGAGAGAGAGAGAGAGAGAGTCCAGGCGGAAGGATAGGATAGGATCGACGTCGAGGATGTCGAGGATATGACGAGAAGGGGGGCAACGTTCAAAGAGCGATGCGACGACGCGCATAGGGAATAGAAGCTATGCGTCCGACCGTCCGCGTGTGCGCCCGACGACCTGGACTGGGACCTGGGTGCTACTCACGGGTGGCGGTTTAATCTTGCAGATGCCGGACCTCTCGGCGATCGGCCGTATCTTGGCGATGTAGGCGAGAGGGTCGTGGAACTCCTCGTTGGTCGGCTCGAACACTGGAGCTTCCGGCGGCACCGTGAACTCAAAGTCGGTCTCGGTGCGATCGCAGGCCATATCTTGAGCGCAACGGTGCGTCCCGCAGCCGCGAATCTCGTTGTTCCTCGATCCCATTGCCGTGATGTCGTGATGCCGTGATTCGGGGATCGGAGGCACGCCGCGCCGCGCCGTCCGTTCCTTCGACGCTGGCTGGCTGACTGGCACGCACGCACGCACGTACGCACGCCCGCCCGCCCGCCCGCACGCACTTTAAATTCGAGCAAAAGCCTCGGCGCCAGGCACCACCGGGCGACGACGTCGCTACTCGACCCGAATTAATCGCGGAACCACGTTACCACGAGTTCCCGGATCGATCATGTTCCTGCGCGCGGATCCACTGGACGCTGCTCCTGCTGCCTGACGATAAACGACGCGCAACGGACACGAATCACGCGGATGTAGCATCAACCTTACGTGAAGCTTCGTACACGACCCGCCATTCACCACGACTGATCACCTTCTCCACTCTCCACTTCTCTGAGTTCTCTCTTCTCTCCGCGCCTCCGCTCTCCGCGCCACCGCTTTCCGCTCTCCGCTCTCCGCTCTCCGCGCAGTCCGAGCTACCCTCACCCCCCTGCCCTCGCTCCCCGCCCGGCGGCCCTGCCCGCAGTGCCCGCTGCCGCGCCGTGGTGGCCAGCAGTACTTGAGTAACGGCTCGACGAGAGCGCCATCGGCGGACGGCAAAATCCGTTTGGCGTTTCGTCTGGTTCCGTCGTCACGTCCGTCTGCTTTGCGTCTGCGCGCTATCTTGCCTGTCAGCGGCCACCTTAAGGTGGATTTTCATGAGCAGTGAACGGCAGCAGCAGCAGTTTAGTACGTTACTTGTTTTGAATCACTTTCGGCGCTAATTTTTTGCTGCTCCAAGTTCAGGCTTCCAAACTCCGGTTAACTTATGCTAGGTCTACAATGCGAGTCGTAAAGTCGTGAGTCGTAAGAATTGACCAATCACAATCGAATTTGAGGAGAATAATCGACTGTGAGTGGTCAATTCTTACGACTCACGACTTTACGACTCGCATTGTAAACCTAGCATAAAGCCCGTGTCACACTACGTATCGCGGACACGGATCGGATTGGGATTACGGATCGCGGATCGGATGTCAGCCAATCACAGATGAGCTGCTCATCTATGATTGGCTAGATTACGGTCCGCGATCCGCAATCTCAATCCGATCCGTGTCCGCGATACGTAGTGTGACACGGGCTTAATGGAGGATTCACACTGCGTCCGATGTTCGACGTACGATGATCCGACATCCAATAACAGAATTTATTATTAGAGACAAAAATTTCCTATTGGATGTCGGATCGTCGTACGTCGAACATCGGACGCAATGTGAATTCTCCATAAGAGCCACGCACGTTTGACTTCAGCCTTCTTCTTCTTCGTCTCGTTATTGGCACAGCTTTTCTTTCGTATTCGCATCAGCCATTGGCCGCGTTCAGCAGATACAACTGTTGAGTGTCGTCTTATCAACACGCTACGTTGATTTGTTGGGTCTAAAAGTAAGAGCCAATCACGTTCGACTGCTACTGAGCGGCTTGATCTGCTGAACGCGCCCATGATCAGACGGCACGGGGCAGTGGCACATCTTCGGTCTTGTGAAAATCTATGGAGACGTGATCGTAAAAATATTGCGGCACTTCCTGACTTCCAGGCACTTCTGCTGACTTCTGCTGCTACGTGTTGTCGTGAGTACAGAACGTACGTATTACGTAATTATTTCATGTTTTCGACATTGTATTAGATTTTACTGAAACTTTTAAAATTCAAGTTTGGGATATTAAAAAACGTTTTAAAGAATATTCGTTACCACTACGCGAGAGATTGGTTATGTTTCGCTAAATGTGTCACGGTCTCGTAACAACGCACCGTTTTCAGACTTTAGTTAATATGGGGAAGGAGTTCGGAAACCTTGCCAAAATCAATGGCATCGTCTTCTTTCGACTCAGTCCATACGAGCAGAAAGCCTTCAAAGGAATAATCTCCGAAGGTGTTCCAAACACTATTCGTCGCATCCGAGGCAGCATATTCCGCGTTGCTCCTTGTAAGTGTATTTAGTACGTGGTTCGTAGTGCGTACATATTTAATTACTTGACGTTATATTTATTTCATAACTTAACGCTTTAATGGGTGATTCTTGTTGTTGCAGTCTTCATGTTTACCTACCTGCTCGTTAATTGGGCGAAAGAGAAGAACCTTGCTCTTTCTCGCAAAAATCCCAAGGATTATGAGAACGATACATAAATATAGGTGAATAACGTTCTAGTTAATGGCACTTAGTTTTTATTTATAAGGTGAAATGCCTTTAACGTAATCTTATCTTCACGTGTAAAGTAAAAGAATAAATATTGTGTAAGACGTAATATATATATGTACTAGAAATATTTTGGATTTCTTGATAAACTTGTTGCTTTCCTCTCTTACGAGTTATGACGAGTATGCGCACATATATAAACGATACGTAATATGAGTCGTATAAAAAATATCGTATATCATGTTTAACTTTTAACAGGCAGGTTTTTTTCATGACTTTATGATTTTTACTTATAACTTTCATATATGTACGTGTTAAAGTGTTATACTAGGTTAGGCTTCCTCATTGAGCCTAAAAATAGGCTTTCCATCCTCCAGATAGAGGTTAAAAATAGATACTTATTTTACAAAACAATGTAAAAATCAGTTCTGTATACAATGACGTTATACAGTTTATAAATATTTTTCTGCCTATTATTTTTTGTAAAAATATTAAGTCTGTAACATTACCACGGCCACGTAGTCAATACAAATAATTAAATGTAGATAATTAATTATTGTAACGAAATCAACGGTTTATTTATATTTTCCAAGTTATCGAATTAATTTTTTTTAAATTTTTAACGGAGACACGTTCTTTTCTATGAGCGTGATGTTCTGGTCGACTAGACTCTCCAACCGGAATACGAATGCCATTTTCCTCAAGGTGTGGGACAATACCTGTCTCCAACTCTCTCCACTACTGTCCTATTTGAGACGTTGTCTTGGTCTTATTGAATAAGATTAGACGATTAGAAGATTTGTTGTTATACGTCATACGACATTCATTAAATACGCGCGACGAGATTAAATTGACCGCCATTAACCACAACCCGGTCAATTAAACTTGAGCATTTTCAACAGGTGTTTCCCACCTTTCCTCAAGTTACATTCCTTGGAACGTCCCTTTATAACAGATAGTTCTATTGGCTCAAGATACCGATACCGGTCTTCGGCGTTCTTCGTCTTTCACGGTGCGTGTCAGGTGCAACTTGATTGGGTGATTGAGAGCGGGGCCTCGCGCCACTCGCGTGCATTAATATATGTACATGTAATTATATATCTATTGTCCGATGATACCCAGGTAACCCAGGTGCACCTGTTGGCATTATTTCATTTTCGTTGAAAATTTGAAAGTTTGGAGAGCCGAGAAGATGTTTGCAAAGATGACGAACGAATTCGCCGTGCCGCCGCGGTCTCGAATACGATTGCATACGACCCTGAGGCATCGCGGCGAAGGCGAAGATTGCCGATTCGAGTGGGCCCGAGCGCCATGTTGGTCTCGCGTCTGGTATCTGATGGCGTTGGACCAATGGCACGTCGCGTTGCGGCGCACGGCGCACCTGGGACCTGGGACAGGTAAGGGTAAGGACGGTGCGCGGTGCGTCGTGGATTGCGACTTACACTCTTCCAGTCGGATGTCGGATTAGTCGCCGGAGTATTCGCGGTCGAGCATGTTCGGGTCGTAGCTCCGCCGCTCGTTTCTCTGTCGCCTCGGGACCGAGTGCCTCCCTCTCCCCGGCCCTCTGCCCTCTGCCTGTCACCGTCTCTTGGAGTGTGCGCGCGCGTGCGGTGCATTGTGAAAAATTTGTAAATAAGGTAAGCGATCCCGTTTGTCGCGCTCGCGCGCCTACGAGACGTCGGTCTCGTGCGTCCTCACCTCGACCGATCGACACGAATCTCACGTCGACACGTCGACGAGAGAGAGAGAGACGATACTCCGGAAATTGTGCGAGGGAACGCGATCGCGAGGCCCGAGGCCGTCGCAAGTCGTAACGCTCGAAGCAGCACCGTTGCAGCGCCGAGGCGAATCGCCCGGTCGCGCACACCTGTTGCCGTCCTCCGTCCTCCGCAGCGTGCATGGCCGCGTCAGCCAGCCTGGCACTCCTGAGTCCTGGCAAGCCTGCGTCGGCATGCGACGAGGCGACAAGGCGACGAGAAGACGCACGGCAGATAAAAATCGTGCTGACGAAAGGCGCTCGCACTCTGCTCCGCTCCCGCTCCCGCTCCCGCTCCCGTTCCCGTTCCCACACCGCTGCATACGTGCTGGATGAGCTGGATCAACTTCGACGTACCACCCTCGCTCGCGTTGCATTTTAATTAACTCCGGATCACGTCATCGACGTGAATCGAAATTTGTAGTATTAGCCAGTGCCCACTACTACGCAATGCAATGGGAGGTGTACTAAAAAAATAAAACCAAAGAGTAAGGGAGCAAAGTTGAAACTCATTCTATCAGGTCGCATATCTCAAGTCCGAATCGCGTCATTTAAGTTCGTAAAGTTTGCGCTATGAGTATCGTAACGGGAGATGTACAAACGAAACTGGACAAGGACGCAAGATTTTCGCACGTCGGCGCGTTTTAATTCTGAATTCATGCACTACCGCGAACGTTGTAGCACAAAATTTGTAGACCCGGAGAGATTTAAATACTAAAAAAAGAAAGATGGTATCAATCCCACACTCTCACCTCCTTTTGCTCGCTAGAGTGGAGTAGCGTTTTAAAACTCGCGTAATCTCTCTATCTAACCCCGAGTTGTATAAACATTCCACAAAGCTAAAAAGGCCGAGAAAATTTGCCAGCTTTAAATCAAGTTTTAATTTAAAGTTTTTTGAAATTTTATAGTTTTAAAATCAAGAAAGTATCACGTATCTTATATGAATGTAAGATTGTAAAAATAAAATTGAAGATGACAACAAAATTAACGATTCGCCTACTATCGTATGATCGTATGAATCATAAATGTGAATCACAGATCATGTTTCGTTTTCTATATATCTATTATGTATGTAATAGGCATCTCTCTTCAGTTGCATACATTTCAGGAAATACGTCGACATATATTTCTGTACTTACATCGAAGATCACCCGTGACAGGTACATACGTCTATCTGAATAGTAATATAAAACTGCGCAAATAATTAGATACACGTACATTTCCGGTGACATTAAAACCAACTTTAGACGTGCCCGCGCGAGGCGCACGTAACTAATTAAGGATTCCTAATTGGACGGTACGGATCGAGTCTTAATTGTCGGATAATTCATTGTATCTGGATTACGTCTTGATTTCTCTCGAGTCGCTATCGCGCATCTTCACTAAAATAAAATATTTAAAAAAACCGTGGCATGCATTTGTATAACAGCTAAAACCATTACATTTTTATTAGTTTTTATTATCGATAGAAGCTTGACTATAAAATCGACAAGCAAATCAGTAAAGTAATATCGTTTATTTCGCGAAATATTTATCAATACACGTGCAAGACGTTCAAAAGTTGTAGTTTTCGTTTAATGCATAAATGAGACTTCTGTAAAATTATGTTTCCTTAATAGAAAGATATTCTCTCTCTCTCTCTCTCTCTCTCTCTCTCTCTCTCTCTCTCTCTCTCCCCCCCCCCCCCCTCTCTTTCCAACCTTAAAAGTGAATCGTAAAATTCGTATTATTTTGTACATGGCACGAATGTGACAGGAACGATAATGACACGCTATCTATATTGGGCGCGTGCGACATCGATCACTATAGCTTATAGCTATTGTAATGTCGATTTGCTAATTCTTATCGGGCTATCATTATCGTGATCTAATGATTCATCGATCGCCGACCTTTGATCATCCTCATTTGGTCTATCTCGCGATTGTAAAACGTGCACGTTCCATTCCCTTATCCGCGCGAACTCTATAAGCTTTTAATCAACGTCGACGCGCAGTTTCGTAACTCTATGTATCTATTATCTATAAATAACAGTTATATTTATACAAGTAATAGCTAACTACGTACAACTCCACGTTAATTCTACATTATTCAAAATTAAACTTGAATGTAAAGGTACATCGCGGTAACCATACGCGTGAATATCCCATATGAAGATGAGTTTGCGCATACGTACACGTTTCAACACTCCTATATATTCTTTATAGTTTATAGAATAGCCTCGTTTTTGTTACAGTCCCCTTCTTTATCTTGTTTTATTTTATTTTATTTTCGTAAAAAAATACAGCTAATCCAAATCGTACGAAGTATTCCTCTTAAAATTAAAAGGTGGTCGTCGCGTTTGTCAAGATTAAGAAGCGGCAGTTACGCGCCCAGCATCTCGTAAAGAGAGATCGGTAGTCCTCGGTATCGCGCGGTATCCGTAGCTCGGAGCCACACGAGACGCGTACGTCGTAATGTCGGCGCCTTTTCATTGAGCGGGCACAAGGCACAAGTCCAAGACGGACGTGTCTGTGTCTCGTATACTTACAGTACTAGTCTCGTAAGGCGAGAAGAGCAATAAACATCTCCAAGTTGCCCGTTAGCTCTCGGCTCCCCGCCCGTGACATTTACGAGCTGCATTCCTATATCGCGGCACGACTGTATTGTTCGTCTTTAATCGGTAATGGCGCGCATAATCGTTTTGTCGAGTTCTACTTCTCTTGCTTATCTCCAAGACGCGAAAATGTACGTTATATTATTACGAAGATCGCGTGCACGCGTGATTATTTACGTTCGATCGGACACGCGTCATCGTCGTCGAGATCAAGCAAAAACCTCTAACAACCGACGAAGATAAATTTCAATTCAACTTCTACAACGCGGGGAAAATACGCCGCGCCGCGCCGGCCGGCGAGAATATAGCAATCCGATCGAACTTGTTCAAGTCGTTGTCGTTGTCGTCGTCGCGTCTATAGCATCCCACTGTCGAACGACACCTGTAATTCACGCCTACGAAATGCCTACGTCATCTCCCACGTAAGACTAACGATGTCGTGACACGGATCACGAGTGCTTATTATTGATTATTATATTATACTACGCATGGATCGATTCTCATCCTTTCGAATGCTGTCAATGCAGAATTTAGAATTTATTGAGTTTCTCGAAATATGACACGTTGTTGTTCTCATGTGTATATGTGTGCTTTAAATAATGGATTAAGATAAATATTCCGAGCAACTCTTATTTATAACTGTCCTAAATTGATATCGTTGATGATAAATGATTAGCGGAGAGCAATCGTAAATCGTAATGCAATATTTGAATATCCTCTTCGACGAGAATTATAGTAAACAGAACGTAGTACGTATTCGTGTTTTAGTATTTTTCTGATA